AAGCTTTTGGCACTTTTATTCTAAGCATTCCAAACACAAGAACTAGTTTCTAAGACCAAACAAGAAAACCAGACTTAAGAAGAACTCTCCGTGTGCCAAATTTCATAGCATAAATTAGCAATTGCTAGAACTGCACTTGTCCACTGGAAATATAATTTATGGCAATGTAATTGTTAGACATTGTTTTCATGTAATTTTCGTTAGCTTATATGCCACAACTCACCCTTGGAATCAAAATGCAAAAGCCAAGTGACAGGTAATATAAAAGCTGGCATTACCCAAAGTCTATCAAAAATCCATAGCATCAGTTTCTACTGAGATCTACCAGTTTGGATTTCATCTCAGAACAGAGGCAAGAGCAATCACAATACATCAACGTTTTAGCTTCCAAGGTCATGGTTGGAATTTTCAACTACCTCTCATTTTTATTTCACTGTTATATCACTCGCATGAACTCTTCATAAATAGAATTACAAAACTGGTAGATGTTTATAGTTATATTGCAGTGAACCTCTTCAACACAGACCATGCTTTTTTGACTACAGTAACTGGTATACAAATCAACTGTAAGCTAATGGCTCTTTTATTTGGCTCTTATATATATTAATGATATACAGGGCGATTCTATTTTTTTTTTACAAATTAAAAGGGGTGATAGTACCCATCCAGTCAAGCAGTAATTACCAGAGAACATAAAGTCGCATTCCACTCTGAGAGGCAGAAAAGAGGAAAGTAGAACGCATCGACGAAGAACAAGAAGACTATGTCATAAGACTTTCAAGAATCAACCGTATGCAAATTTGCACTGAGAAGAAGCAACATTTTGCTCTTAGTTGGTACTGGAGAAAATCAGAGTAAATGGTGTCCTTGAACACGACACAACATCATCGCATCAAGTATTATCTTGATAACATGGTCCGAAACTTAATGAATGCTATGGTGGAGTACACATATGAGGAACTGGCAGATATTCACTCATATATGGTGAAGCAAAAGGGAATGGACACAAAGCACGAAGATTGTACGAACAGCAGTTTCCAAGTCATTCAACCTTTTCTTTTGTAAATCAACGACTGCGAGAAACTGGTTCTTTTGCTATCTCAAAAAGCAATGCAGGATGTTCGAGAAATGCATCAACTCCAGAAATGTAAGAGCGAGTTTTGACTAGATTTGAACTAGCAGTTCCTTTCGCAAGTACACGACGGTGGTATATGAAATGGGTATTTCTTATCCAGTTGGTGTGGCATATTTTTTACACGAGAAATGTGTGCACGTCTACCACATGCAAAAAGTGCAATTTTTGCAGATAGATGATTATCCCTGCAAGACAGACTTTGGGCAGTGGATGCTTGGAATGAGGAATAACAATCCATGATTTCCTGCATTAATATAATTTACTGATGAGGCAACATTCAGCAGAGAAAGCATTTTCAACATGCACAATCAACATGTTTGGTCTGACAGCAATACCCACTGCACTACCTCTCATAAATACCAACAGAAATTTTCCGTGCATGTCTGGGCAGGTATCTTAGGTGATTACCTAGAAGGCCCTTACGTCATGCCAGATCATTTGGCCGGTGCAACATACCATACATTCTTGGAACAACTGCTTCCCATTTTATTGCAGGCTGTTCCGCTTCCCATCTAGAAAGACATGTGCTTTATGCACGATGAAGCCCCAGCACATTTTTCTGTCATGGTCCCATAACTTTTTAAATACCACATAACCCGCACAATGGATTGGACGTGGCGGACCTGTGGCTTGGCCTGCTTACTCATCGGACCTCAACCCTGGGGGGCCTTTCTTCTGGGGGTATCTGTAAATGAGCTGAAGATCTTCTGGGGAGAATCGTTGTTGGCACAGACAAATTTAATGCAACAGGAATCTTTGAGAGGGTGCGCTAGTCGTTGCTTCGCCGATGTCAACTTTGCAACAACATACATGGTCGGCATTTTGAACACTTTCTGCAAGTTTTTCACTAAACAATAAAATCTAATTGTGCAACTTTTGGTCTCGTTCATTCACATTCCCAACACTGTTGCAAGTTCAGGTAGTAATTCTAATATTCCTCTTTTCTGCCTCTCAGAGTGAAATGCAACTCTATGTTCTATGGTAATTATTGCTCGTCTGGATGGGTACTATCACCCCCCCCTTAATTCTAAAAACAATTTAGAATCATCCTGTATATTAATATTAGCTCCATTCCAATTGTTAAGTGATCATTGATGGAGATATAGTACAAGGTAACCAAAAATATTTCTTGCCATTCATTAACATCAGAGAAAAGCAGACATACTCTGCAAGGTTAGATATTGAAGTAAACTCGATCAACATTCAGTGCTCTTTGCAAGCATTCCTGAAGACCTCTTAGTTTGCAATGCTCTGGCATTAAAAACATGGAGGTCTTGAATGCGAGATAAGTGAATCCCTCCTTGCCAAAGGATTTTTGATGGAAACTGTTGTCCAGAGAATGGAACAAGTGACAATCTGTTAGTATGAGGTTCAGCAAGTATGATAGTTAGCACAGTGTCTCCGAGCCAGGTTTCTGAGTAATATCCTTGGTCCTTCTGGTCACATGAGGTTTTGCATTGTTGTGGAGGTACAGCATACTGTTGAAATTAACCAACATTGGCTGCTTCTACTGCAGTGGCTGTTGCACTTTGCAACTAGTCTAAAAGACACAGAGCATGATCTAACTGGGTACAGAGATGGTCTTCAGGTGTGAGGCATAAGTTTCATTCGGTGGCAGCCAATGTATAATAAATACTCTTGGCAGTGTCATACTAGATCCACTTTTTGTCACCGGTGAGCATTCAACCAAATCTGAGTGTGTTACAGTGCTGAAATAGCAGTGACAAAGAGGGGCTCACTTGCCATTCCTTATTGACTGCCAACAGTATGTGATGCATCCACTTCTTAATTTGTATATCTTCTCTCTGCAGTGCAGATGACGTCCATCCGCATCCTTGGAAAACTAAAAGCATTCAACAAGTTTGCCACACCTTGGACTGCTGGTCTCCTCCATGGCTGTCTCCAAGGTCTTGTCTTCTAACAGCTGTGGTCACCCCATAGTGGAATTCCTTGCATCTGTACTTTTGGAACCAACTTCTGCAAGGCATTTGTTCATAGCATCATTCCCAAATGACTGATCTATATAATGACTGCTGTCAGGCCCAACTTAAAGTCATACAGTCTAATACTTTTTTAACAAATTGAAGCAAACTCCAATGATGGAACACAGCAAAAACTTTATTTAGCACTCAAAATGGTGACATACAAACAAGAAAAAAAAAAGAATTTTAACATTTAAAAATAAATCACATTCTTCGTGTGAGAGCTGCATATGGCACTCGAGCCTGTGTTTCAAACATTGCCATTCACATATACCTTAATGTTCATCTAATTAAATTATTTATTTTAAACTACAAGATTTTAATAATATTTATAAAGCTGTTATAATAGCAAACAACCATGAACAAACTGCATTGGTACCTCCATTTTTGTTCAATATTAGATGAGCTGTGATTGTTATGTGTGCTTGTATTGATGAAGGTAAAGGGTTACATTAACCGTCCATCACTTTTATTATGTATGATGTACTTTGTTTCCTGTCTGTTAGCATTTCATCAAATGGGACATGAAAATTGGCAAGAATTTTTTTTTTTTTTTTGTACAGTCAAAAGTCGTTAATCCGGACTCGTCTGGACTTCGGCAATTCTGGATTATCGATTTTTCCGGATTATAGATCATCAGTTTAAATCTGGTAAGGTGGCATGCAGAAATTCTAAAATTAAAAATATGAAACCGTAATTTATGAAATAAAGAACAATTATGATCTTAAGGGTATCAAAATTTACAAAAAGAAAAAGCTTAATATTTATGTGTTTACTTTATTAAAGATTTCTTTCAATGTAAGTTGTTTAAGTTGCTTCGTTTCATGTGATAATACTTTCTCTTTAATTCTATTAAACAGACATAATTTCTTGTTTAGTTACAAAGTTCTGCTATTCCAGTCCTGTAATTGCTGTGTCGAGAATACCGACTAATCTGTCAATTGAAATTTTTTTTGTTTTCAATAACCTCTGTATCACTTTCTTCTTTATCAGAAGCGAATTATAATGATGAGGAATTTGATTTAAATCATATGAAAGACGGAGTACATCGAGATGAAATACTACATTTAGTAAGGAATTATAAGCGAAATAAAATAAAAGCATCTGCCCTGAAGATAAGGATAGTGCTGACAGATTAACTTCCAATTCAATGCGCGCCGCGGCGTTTTGACGTTATCCCCCGGGCCGCAGAGCAGCGTGAAATTGATAAACAGATTTCGGAATGGTTTGAGAAACGAAGGATATGCCTTTATCCATTTTTTGCAGCAATTCCACTTTTTTTTAATGGACTTCTAAACATACTTTCGGTTTGTAGATCCTTTACATATTAGTAAATATATATCGGAAATTCTATTTGACATAATCGAAAGTTCAAGCTTACTTTTATAAAATTGCTCTAACAGTCTGCAAAAAATAATAAGCCGGATCCAATTCGAAGATTCAGGAACAACACAATTTGCAACATTAACTGAATTAGATAATTTTAGCTTTGCTTATACCGTCCATTATACATTAAACACACAAGCGTAAACGTATTACGCACATGCGCACACGTATATTCGCAGCCATAAAAGTCTTTCTGCGCAGAAAGTTTGTAGCTTTGAAGTCCGGATTATAGATCATTCCGGATTATGGATGTCCCAATTAACGACTTTTGACTGTATATGTTCATTATTAAGAATAAAGAAGGTGTCATAAAATTTAAGTTATATTTTATCATCACATACTTAAGGAGTGCCAACTATTTTTAAAATCATGCTGTGTTATAAAAATTCTTCAAAGTAAATGAATTCAAATTTATATTATATAATTATTTATAATTTTCATTGTGCAATAATGTATGTTTGTACTTTTGTTGATTGCATATTTTTCATTTCATTTAGAGCCGTAAAGATTATTGTCCAGATGGCAAGTCTGATGTTGATCTGCTAGCTCAATGCATTAGAGCAAAAGTGACCAGTTTAGAAATTGGAAATAGTGTACTTCACAAGCAATCTAATGAAGCTGAAAGAATATTGTTGGAAAACAAAAGAAATTCAGATAAACATGATGCAAATAATGTATCTCATGAAGAAGATGATTGTGATGATATTTTAGCTAAGTGTATTATGGCAGGTCTGCCTAGTCCAAAAATTATTGATAATATTCAAGATAGATTTTATATTTCTTCAAAGAATGCAAATCAAAAATTGACTAATCAAAACATAGCAGCTTTACCAGAGAATAATAATGAACATAGAAAGAAGTATTGCGGTGTCGGTGTGCTCCAGAACGATAGCAACATTTCAGCAAAATGCAGTGCAGAAGAGAAAAATGGCTTCAAAATGTCTGCTGATAAATCTTTTACTCAGTGTGTCAGAGAAAAAATATCTGATCCTGAAAATATAAACAATGAACCAGATGATTCTGTATCCTCAAAGAAAAATTTTAATGAAATTATTTTTAGTGAAAATAAAACACTATTACATCAAAACAAACAAGATTGTGGACCTGAAAATAGTCAAATTTCCGTGTTCCAAACTCATGATGATGAAGATATTTTAACAAAATGCATTATGGCAGGTTTGCCTGGTCTTAAAAAAAAAGATAATGTTCAAAATGACTTTTATACTTCTTCCAAAAACTCAAATAAAAATTTAGTTAATCAATATGTGACATCTTTGCCTCAAAATAAAATGGAAGTTAAGAGCATGCATTGTTCTAGTATTTTATCACCTGCTAATAAACTCAAAGCAGAATGTATAAAAACAAACAAAAGTAGTTCCAAAATATCTGAGGACAACCTTTTTACACAATGTATTAGAGCAAAAATGGCTAGTCCTGATAACATACTGAACAAACAAGATAGTTCTCTACTTGTAAAGAAAAATTTTAGTATTTTAATTCCTGAGGAAAATAAAAAAGTGTTGATCGAAGATTCAAATTTAAAAGTTGAGCTTAACCAGGTTACTTTGCCTCAAGGTGACGAGGAAGAGGAACTTTTAACAAAATGTATTATAGCTGGTTTGCCTAATCCTAAGCAAAAAGATAATGATCAAGATAAGCTTGATACTTCTTGGAAAAGCTCAAATGAAAAGCTGGCTTCTCAAAGCATAGAAGTTTTGCCTGAAAATAAAAAGGAACTTCAAAAAGTATATTGTACCACTCATGTGCCACATGGTAAAGATCAATTTAGAGCAGAATGTATTGATACCAACAAGAACAGTGCCAAAATATCTGATGATATTCTTTTAGAAAAATGCATTAGAGCAAAAATGGCTAGCCCAGAAATTCAAAGCAGTGAACAAGGTAATTTTGGTGTTTCTTCAAACGAAAACTGTAATAAAATTATTCATAATGAAAGTAAAAAAATATTGTTAGAAAACAGAAATGATAGCAAATCAGACAGCAGCAAGTTTACTTTGTCTCAAGGTGGTGATGATGATGAAGATATTTTAACTAAATGCATTATAGCAGGTTTGCCTAATCCTAAAGAAAAAGATAGATCTCAGGATATGATGAATACTTCAGATAATTCAAGTAACACTTTGATTTTCCAAAGCACAGCAAATTTGCCGGGAAACAAAACCAAATTGAAAAGTATGCGTTCATCTTCTGTAATGAATGGTGATGATGAATTTACAGCAAAATGCATTAAAGCAAACAGTAGTAACCCTAAAATATCTGATGATACTCTTTTAGCAAAATGCATTAGAGCAAAATTGGCAAGCCGTGAAATTTTAAACAGTAGACAAGATAAGTTTTATATTTATTTAAAGAAAAACTTAAATAAATTAATTTCTAATGAAAGTAAACAGATGTTGAAAGTTGAAGATAATGCAATTATTTCTCCTGAAGTTGTTGTTGTTGATGATGATGATGATCTTTTTGCAAAATGCATTATAGCAGGTTTGCCTAGTCCTAAAAAGAAAGATAATGTTTCAGAACAAGCATATATATCTTCAAAAAATTCTAATAAAATTTTCAGTAATCAAAGTAAATCAGTTTTGCCTGAAAATAAAAAGGAGTTAAAAAACAATCCTCCTGCTGATATGTCACACAATAATATTGAAAAAGCAAAGTACTTTAAAGTAGGTAAGAGTATTCCAAAAATATCCGGTAGTGATATTTTAGCAAAGTTTCTTAGAACAGGTATTTCTGATTCTAAAATCATAAATAAGGATCAAGACAGTCTTTGTATGTTTTCAAAGAAAAGTAGCCAAAAGCCTGCTATTCAGAACAAAACAGTAATGTTAGAAAACAGAAAAGATTGCAAAGCTAAATATAGTGCAACAATTTTGTCTCAAGCTAATGATGATGATGAATTGGTAGCAAAATGTATCAGACCTGGCTTGCCTAGTCCTAAAAATAATGTGCAATCTACTAAGAATTCAATTCATCGATTGACTACTCAAAACATAATAACATTGCCAGAAAGCAGAAGAGACCATAAGAAAAGGTATTGTACCACTAATGTTTCAAATGGTAGTGAACTTGTACCAAAGTATTTGATCAATCCCAAAATTGTGAGTAATGTGCAAGATAGGCAGATTGGGAAAAAGTGTTATACTGCAAATGTATCTGAACATTGTAATGATATTGATCCCATAATAGCATGTAACAAAACAGACATGGTCAATGTGAAATTTGTGAATGGTATTCATTCAAAAAAGAACTTGAATCACAGATTAAGTTTTCAGAATAAATCAATGCCGGCTGAAATCAGAAAAGAATACAGGAAGAAGAATATTATTAATAGTTTACCCCATCAAATTAATGATAATCTTTTATCAAAAAGCACTAGAGGAAATATTTTGAATTCAAAATTTGTTGGTATGGAAGATAGACTTTGTGTAACTTCAAAAAAGAATGTAGTTCAAAAATTGCATTCTCAAGAAAAAGCAACACTGTTTGAAAACAAAAAAGAATATAGAAAAAAGTATCCTTTTAGTAGTCTTCCTGTAACTAATGCTTGCACTCCACTTCATAATCCAAGTCCAGTATCAATACCAAATTCTAGTTTCATTGATGTTGACACTCTGCGAGTTTATGAAATTGAAGATACACCTATTATTTCACGAACTGCCTCTGTAAATGATTTGAGTTTGTGGGCTGATGAGAAGAGTTACCATGAGAAACATTTGAATATTTCTCGTAATTCTGATTGCAGCTCTGAATCGGAAGATATTGAATTGTCACAGTATGATAAATCAAGTAAGAAAGGAGCAAAAATAACTTCTGTATAACAGTTAAAACTTTTTAGTAACAAACATTTGTATGTGATATTTATGTGCCTTTAGTCTAAGGACATAACTGCCAACTCTACCAATTTTCCATCACATCAAATGATCTCCTGGTGCATCGCTGAATGTGCTTAATTTTTATCCTCTGCTGAGGAAAAGTGTTTTTCATTATTAAAGGAAATTTATCGAATTAATGCAACTTAAACTATGCAAATTTCATTTCCCACATGTAGGATTTTCAGCCTAAATTTTTGCATTGAATTTTATTTGATCTAAATTGTATTATCTGCTGTAGACTTTAGTAGAACTTTATATGAAGATTTAACCAATATTTAATCAGCAAATATTCATGTTTAATTTTGCTTTGCATCAATTTATTTTGCATTACTAAGTTTATCGACTCGTGTATTATAAAACAAATAGATCTATTTTTTGAGTTTTTTTGAAGTAGTGCAACCATGCAGCATGAAAACTTCCTGGAAATTCTTGTTTTTTTGGCACAAGAATCTCCCACCCCTCTTTTTTTATCTTCATATTTCTGGGTTTGAAACCATGTAAGAATTTAAGATGAAGTCCTACTAGTATCTGTTTTGTGAAAAGTAAATTAATTCTGATTTCAACTTGTACATAAATTTTTGAACTATACTGAGTACATTAAATTTGCTTGTATATTGACTATCTTGAATAAATTAATTTTTCTTATGCAGAAATATTGTTTATCTTTCATAGTTTTTAATGTGCATGTGTTTAATGGTATGTTTATGTATTGTATTAATTAATATTTGTATCATCAGGAAAAATTGACAATGAAAATTTAGGTATATTTAGGAAAATTTGAAATGATATAACAATAAATAAACTAGCTGTTAAAACTTTTTGTTAATAGCATCATCAGAAGAATAATGGCATTAATCATAGCAAAATTATCAATTAGTTTGTCATAATTCGTGTCATCTAAGACATGAATGTACAGTATTGACATCTAAGACATGAATGTACAATTTTTAATGTACAGTATTGACAAACTATTCAAGTGTATCTAAGAAAGGGCTGATCATACATAATTTTATGAAAATTCACAACATGGCAGAAGTGGTATAGTTTATCTCTGAACAATTTTCCCCTTTTTATCTATATCAAATAAATGCATTTTGGAAATAGCTGAGATCACTTTTCTAGAACTGGAAGGTTCAACAGCAAAAATGTCTTTGAATATATCAAACACATACTCAGGATTTATGATAGCCCATTTCACTCATTAGGCTATCACAAATAAAATTAAAAATTTGTACTCGGATCTTTTCAATGAATCCAATCCTTTTAATTTTCAGTGATCATTGAATTGGCCAATGAACGTATTTCATCATCTCTGCTTTAATCTCATTTCTTCTTACTTCCCTATACTAATATTCTTACCTTGCAGATATATATAATGTTGAAGCTTCTGTGTCACTGCTGAAGTTTAGTCCTTCATAAAGTATACTTGCTGAGACTGAAATAGATCTGCTATCTTCATCATGTTTTCATCTCTTTATATATATTATATATTAATACTTTATATATATTATATATTATAATTAATACTTATATAGAATTAACACAAATATATATATATATATATATATATAATATATATATATATATATATTTGTGTTAATTCTTAGCAACAGCTTGTCCATGAAAACAATCATTTAGGTTGTTTTGTATCTCTCAAATTTTTTTGCTGATGATATAACCTTTATTTTATCTTGTAAGTCTTTTAGACTCAGAAATTTTAATAAGTACTTTTTAATTTTATTGTAATTGTCCATTAAGGATGATGCACAATTCTCACGGGCCATCTATTACTATTACTTTATTGTTTTAAAATGGGCTGCTTCTGCTGTAGCTGAGAGCAGAATTTAAGTACTTCCCATTGATAAGCGAAGGATTTAAAAAAAGTGCATACTTTTTGGGAAAAAAAAATCAATATTGTTTCCTTGTTATCTTGAAACAAGGAAACAATATTGATTTTTTTTTTTTTTTTTTTTTTTTTAATAACACAGAAAATGCTGTAGCACTTTTCTGTGCTATTTTTATATGAAAGCCACCAATGATATCTAGTATATTGTTATAGCATTGTCATCTACAGTTTTTTATATGTTACCCTATACCGAAATTTTAAAAACAGCAAATTTAAAATACAAATTTGTAAGGTTTTATGGGCACAAAACAAAGAAATCATTATTTTTCCATCGGCTTTTACATACTACAGAACCAAAGTTAGCTGGTTCAAATGACTGACACCAGGAGCTATATTAGCAAAAATTGAGTACTGGACACGTTTTACCTCTTCACAAAAACTTTTCTCAAAATTTAAAAGAAAAAAAGACCACTGTTGTATTTTTTGAAGATTCAGAATCCCTATGGCTTCTGCAATATTCTTACAGTAGCCAATGCTCACTACAATACCTGCCTCCAATAAGCCTTGTCTTTTCTTAGTTTTTTAATTAAATGATTAGCTGAAAACCTACTCTTGTGATTAATTTATTCTTGTAAGCAAACTCACTACTACTGTGAAGTAGATTTTGAGATTTGATGGCTGTTTAAAACTCTTTCTGAATAAGACTAACAGAAAATCTATCAATGAAAACCTGATGAAACTTATGAACAAGAAAAATTTTACACACATATCAATAAATAAACTTGGATGTTTCAGGAAAATATGATTGGTTTCTTTCTTTCTACCACCTTTCTTAGTGTAATTTGTCTTCATTCTATAAAAATGATATTCTTGTATTTTTCTAAACTGTATTTTCTGAGAAAACAATATTTATTCTGAAATTCAATAATATTCTGAGAAAAGAATCTAAGAAAGCTTTTCTTTGTTTTTTACATTTTAGCAGAGCTATCCTCTATTTTTTTATTTTAACCCTCTGAGTGGCTTGGGTTTTTGGATCTGTCATGAAGACCTGTATCCAAAGAGCGTAAATTAGCTAAATTTATATACTTACCTATTTTGATCTCTATTTACATAAACTTACAGTTATTAATGAAATTACATTTTTAATGAAAGTAAGAAATCAAAATATCTTAAATTATAAGCTAATATATACAAAGTAGCAAAAATCTCATATGACCGATTAAAGCCGGCCATAGTGTTCAGAGGAACAGCTTTCTGAGCCCACTTTTTTGGGGAAGGGCTGCTTGTTTTTAAAAAAACAGGTACCCCCCCCAAAAAAAAAACCATAACCCATTAACTGCCACATTAAGAGTGGAGTTAGATGGTCATAAAGTTACATCAGTAGTATTGTAGAATCATTAATGTTTGGGAAAGCAGGAAACATGATGAATGTACAATGCCCTCCCCCCCCCCCAGCGATTCAAACTCTGAGCTCTATCGATTGCTAACTGGACACGCTTCCAATTGCACTATGAAAACACACAAAATGTTTTTGAATATCACAAAGCCACAAGGGGTATATGTTATGAGGAGGGATGCCTTCATGAAGGACTTTCTAAGGGGAACCGACTGATATTCACGTTACACATGGGAAAAACCAACCATGCAGCCTGCCCGTTCGCCTAGGATCGAACAACGCAGGGTAAGGAAGGAGAAAAATTTTTACATTCTGCGCCACTTGACAGTGACAGGCAAAGAGAAGAATCCAGTTGTCAGATCCTGGCCATGATGAATTATCGTCTCTCACATTTTTTGTTCGAGCGCCGCTTGTAGAATCTATTAGGCTTTATTTCGGAGCAAGAAGCATGCAGAATGGTCCATTTCCTCGCCAGGATTCGAATTCCAGACCTACCTATTGGACTGGATATGCTTCCAATTACAAAACGAAGGCAAACAGTAAAAGAAAAAAAATTCCTTTTAGGATAACCTTTATTCACTAAACATGTAGAGCTAGGCTCTTGATTTTTTGGATCAGAATCTTGTTGATAGTTTGTGCTTGAACCAGAATGTTTAGACTTAAACTCATTCATGCCTTCACGTGAATCTTATTCATGTGAGGATTTGAAGAATTTAAACTATCATTATCACTATCATTTCGAACATGGAGAGTCTTTGAGAAGTTCTCGTGGAATTTGCACATTTATTTTAACATTCATGATTGCTAGGCTTGTACAGTTTGCATCAATAATATCAGTAGGTAATGTCTAAATAATGCAAGCAGGTAATTTTTAGAGAAATGAAAGGCAATCAGTGTTACAGTTCCTGTAAATAATCAGAACATTTCAGTTTGTGGCACCTCAAAAACACAAAAAAGTAAGCAACCAGACGATATTACAGATTATGTCAGATCTCTAACCTCTAGTGTTCTCTTAAGAAGAGAAGGACCTTGACTGAAATGTCAGCTAAACATTATTTTTTTTTTATTATTATTATTATTATTATTATTATTATTTAAGTGTGTGAATGATAGCTTAAACATGAAGTAGTTAAATCAGTTTCCAGTTAGCTTGGGACAAGAATTTTTCGCTTTGCTTTGTACCACTACTGAGTAAAAAACATTGATTTTTAGCATATTTCGAGTTATGCTTTCCTTAAAGTTCAATTTAATATTCAAACTATGGTTACCAATATTGCTATCAGAAGTAAATTAAATTACTTATAGTTCACATAAAAATGACAATTCCATTAGGTTTTCTAAGATTAAGAGTGAAGTTTGAGGCACTGCTTTTCTTTGAACCTGGAAAGTTATTTAAAGGCACCTTGTGACAGCCATGTAAACCTACCTCTGGCTTTTTCTTGTGGGTGTTTGGCAAAGATGCTTATTGTCTTGAGCCTTCATTCCCTGTGGATCTTCTGGATTTTTGCAAACAAAAGTCGTGGTTGTAGTTGAATGTAATGTTCGTGCCAGGATATCGGGGTTGATCAGAGCTGACTAATATACTAGCATGTATAGGTATTGCAGCATAGATATGTGTTGTATCAAGAAAGGTTAAGACAGTGAGCATTTGTGAAATGTGTTAAAAAATTAAATAATATTCTCTATCTTAGAATTAAATTAAATGCATTAAAATTTGATATTGCCTGCATAGTTTATTCATTGTAAATTTTTAATTAAAAATTTTTCATGGAATTATGACCAACTCAGTATTTATTGTATTTGAATTTTCCAGTTACTTCTCTAAAACTCCTACGGACTGTTCCTACTGGGGTTTATCTGAACTAACGGAGACGACTGACATAGCTGACCCATCTCCAAAACCATTTCTTCCCATAGGGCAGCAAGTTGAAAAATCTGAACTGCAGTCATAACGGAGTTAGTCGACATACGGAACTGACTCTATTAGCTCAGATAAACACCAGCGGGAACAGCCCTATAGCTTCATTATATGTTAAGTCTGAAGTGCCAAAGAATTTTATCATGATCTCTACTATTTCTATTTCTTTTAATTTTATTTCTTGACACTTTTAATATTCACTGTCTATTAACCAATCAAATTTTAATTTTCCCATTATCTAATTCATGGGTGCCTTAAATTTCAGACACAAAGGTGAGCCACATACAAAGTTTAATATTTATTAATGATACATTATCGCTTATATTAATTCAATAACGACCAACTTCTGCTCCGTTAAGGGCCGTTCAGACTGGTGTTTATTTTAACTAACGGAGTCAGTTCTATATGTCAAATAGCTGCGCTATACCTGCAGTCCAGATTTTTTGAGGGGGAAAACTGGTTTTGGAGATGGGTCAACTGTCTCCGTTAGTTC